CCCACACTGCTGCCCCACACTGCTGCCCCACTGCTGCCCCACAGTGCTGCCCCACACTGCTGCCCCACTGCTGCCCCACTGCTGCCCCATCAGCCTTCCTGCTCTCTGGGTCCTCCAAATTTCCCATCTGGGCAGGGAAGGACGAAGCCTCACCCTGGTGTGAGCAGAGGTGCTGGTCACCTCCAAACCTGCATGGTGGGACACCCCAAACACAGTGCAGAACTGTCACCTCCACCTTCCCAGCACGGAGCTGGGTGGTTCCCAGTGTCACCTCTCCATGCCTGTCTCACCTCCTCTGTCAGCAAAGGCGACGTGGTGGCCACTCTCCTGGGCTGGAGCTGGTGGGCTGGAAGGGGGGAGCCCCCATTTCAGGGTGCTGAGCCCCTCCTCTGCCCCAGGTGCAGCCCATCCAGCCAGCCCCAGCTCTCTCCCAGCCGGCCGTGGTGATGACAAACCCTGCCCCGGTGGCCAAGGCCTCCTCCGTGCCCGTCCCCATCACCTGCACCGAGACCCCCACCGTCAGCCAGCTGGTCTCCAGTGAGTCACAGCGAGGGGTGCTGGGGGGACACCAGGGACTGGGGGCTCCTGGGAAGAGGGTTTCCGTGCTCTGGGAATCCCCGTGGGGATGGGGGAGGATGCTGTGCACCCACAGCCTCCATCCTTGGGGATGACCACGAGCACCCGGCCTTCCTTAGGGAGCCTAACGAAGGGGATGCTCATTATGGTTTGGGGGGGAGAGGCGGGGGCATGGGCGTTTGACAGCAGCCCCCGTGTCCCCTCTGCTGGCAGAGCCCCCAGCTCCCAACAGCAGCGCGGAGGAGGACGGGATCAACCTGGAGGAGATCCGGGAGTTCGCCAAGAACTTCAAGATCCGCCGCTTGTCCCTGGGGCTGACGCAGACGCAGGTGGGACAGGCCCTGACGGCCACCGAGGGACCTGCCTACAGCCAGTCGGCCATCTGCAGGTATGGGGGGGCTGGGGCTGCCCCCCGGGGTCACTGCGGGTGGGAACCGGGGAGGAGGGACGTTCAGGAGTAGGAGGGAAAAATCTGGGAACAGAGGAAACGCAGAGAAAGGGAGGGAAATGGGAGAGAAGGAGGGGAAATGGGAAAGGAAGGGTATTGGAGAGAATGAAGGGAAATGGAGAGAAACAGGGCAGTTAGAGAAACAGGAGAATCAGATAAATGGAAGTAGAGGGAGGGAAATTGAAGAGAAGGGGGAGAATTGGAGAAAAGGAGTGAAAAATGAGAGGAGGAACTAGAGAGTGTGAGGGAATTGGGAGAAGGGAAGAAAAAATGAGGAAAGGTGGGAAGTGGGGAAAGAGGAGGAGGATATGGGAGGGAAATGGGAGAAAAGGAGGAAAATTAGAGGAAAGGGGAAATTGGAGGAAAAATGGAGAAAGGGAGGAAAGCTGGAGGAAGAGGGGAGAATTGGGGGAAAGAGAAAAATCGGGGAAGAGGGAGAAAAATGGGAGGAAAGGAGGAAAATTAGGGAAAGGGAGGAAAAAGGGGAGTAAGGGAGGGTCGGTGGGGTCACTGCCCACAGAGCTTGTCAGTTCCCCGCTGTGGTGTCACCTGCTGAAGGTGGCACTTGTCCCAAACCCCCTCAGAGTGTGTCCCCCCCACACACGTCCTTGCTGCATCCCTGAGGGTCTCGTGGTGCCCCCGGCAGGTTCGAGAAGTTGGACATCACCCCCAAGAGCGCCCAGAAGCTGAAACCGGTGCTGGAGAAGTGGTTGAGCGAAGCCGAGCTCCGCAACCAGGAAGGGCAGCAAAACCTGATGGAATTCGTGGGGGGGGAGCCCTCGAAGAAGAGGAAGCGCCGGACCTCCTTCACCCCCCAGGCCATCGAGGCCCTCAACGCCTACTTCGAGAAGAACGCCCTGCCCACGGGCCAGGAGATCACCGAGATCGCCAAGGAGCTCAACTACGACCGCGAAGTCGTTCGCGTCTGGTTCTGCAACCGCCGCCAGACCCTCAAGAACACCAGTAAACTCAACGTCTTTCAGATCCCCTAAAAAGGGGGGGGTGGAGGAAGAGGGGAGAATTGGGGGAAAGAGAAAAATCGGGGAAGAGGGAGAAAAATGGGAGGAAAGGAGGAAAATTAGGGAAAGGGAGGAAAAAGGGGAGTAAGGGAGGGTCGGTGGGGTCACTGCCCACAGAGCTTGTCAGTTCCCCGCTGTGGTGTCACCTGCTGAAGGTGGCACTTGTCCCAAACCCCCTCAGAGTGTGTCCCCCCCACACACGTCCTTGCTGCATCCCTGAGGGTCTCGTGGTGCCCCCGGCAGGTTCGAGAAGTTGGACATCACCCCCAAGAGCGCCCAGAAGCTGAAACCGGTGCTGGAGAAGTGGTTGAGCGAAGCCGAGCTCCGCAACCAGGAAGGGCAGCAAAACCTGATGGAATTCGTGGGGGGGGAGCCCTCGAAGAAGAGGAAGCGCCGGACCTCCTTCACCCCCCAGGCCATCGAGGCCCTCAACGCCTACTTCGAGAAGAACGCCCTGCCCACGGGCCAGGAGATCACCGAGATCGCCAAGGAGCTCAACTACGACCGCGAAGTCGTTCGCGTCTGGTTCTGCAACCGGCGCCAGACCCTCAAGAACACCAGTAAACTCAACGTCTTTCAGATCCCCTAAAAAGGGGGGGGCAGGGACGGGGAGGTGCGTGTGTCCCCCTACCCCCCCGACCCCCGTTGCCCACCCCGAACCTCCCGCCATCAGCACTTTTTTTGCCACCGTCCCCCCGGCGCTG